CTTTGGAACTGGAGTTACAGACTGTTGTAAGCCATCATGTGGGTACTGGAAACCACGCCTGGGTCCTGTGCAAGAGCAGCCAGTGCTCTTAACTGCTGAGTGGTCTCTCCAGCCCTGAATTCTAGGTTTTGTAGAAAAGAAGTTTGAAGTGCACCCTTGTTCTATCGCTGCAGCTTCCTGGAGCTGAATGGCGAGGTTCTGACTCTGAATGGAGGATCTATGATGCAGGTCTCTGCCTCTTGCTAATAGTTGATGTGGTTTGCCTGGTTCTGAGTGTCACCCAGATGTTCAAGGAAATGATTTCTTTTTTCATATATCTTAATAATTGCCAGCTCTTGGCTTGTTTTGTAGATTGTAGATGCATGGATGGAAAAGGCAGCCACTTAATTGTCCTTCCCATCAACAGATTTCCTAGCCAGTTAGGCCTGCAAAGCCCTTAGAGGAATATCTGTAGAGCTACCTTCAGCAGGTGCATTTTGAACTCAAGTTCAACTCCACCTCTCCCAGTGGATTCAACTTATCTTTTCTAGCATGTGTGTTCTGTCTCCAGTGCAGACCAGCTGTACCCCCGACAGTGTTTTATCCCAAGCTCAGAGGCAGCTTTTGTCTATGCCCTTGGCAAATCCTACTCACACACTTCCAGAGTATCACCTCCCTGAGAATGTTTTCTCTGATTTTTCTCTCTAGATATGGCTCCTGATAATTTGGCACTCTTCTAGTCCATGGTTCATAAATAAGAAATCATGCACATCTCAGTGTGCTTTGGACTATGGTTAGATATACAGATACCCTCATTCTGCCACTGGATGGGGGAACCCTGCTCACCACACCCCAGTAACCCAGGGCGTAAAACAATGTCATAGTCATCAAAGTCTAACCCAAACCAAGGGGCCAGCATATTATGTGGGATGCCTGAAATATTTGGTCTTTAGCAATACATTTCCAATCTAGGGAGAGAATGTATTGATAACCTACTTCAGGGGCTGGAGAGATGGGTGAGTGGTTAAGGGTGCTTTCTACTTTTGCAAAAAAAAAAATAATAATAATAAGTAGAGTTTGGTTTCCAACACCCATGTTATGTGGTTTACAACTGCTTATAACTCTGAAACTCTTTTGGCAACAGATAAAGGCACTTGCCACCAAGCCTGACAACCCAGGTCCTGTTCAGTCCCCAGGACCCCATGGTAAAAGGCAAGAACTGGCTGCCACAATTTATTCACCAACCTCCACACAGCATGGCATAGGTGTGTATACAACAATAACAACAACATCCAAATAAATAAGTGTAACACATTTGTAAAAGAATCTGTTTGTACTTCTTTGCTGTTATAACTTGAAACTTTCCCTCAATAGTGTGGTTTTGTTTCGGCCCTCCTGCAAAAGCTTAAGGAAATATTAACTTTCATTATGCTGTTTTCTTGATTTCTCAGAGTCTTGGTGACTTGAGAAACAATGTAACACCTGTGTGCTCATGCAGATGAAATGAACCATGGGAGTTAAAAGGCACAGGTACACAGCCTCTGCTCAGTGCCCGGCTCTTATTCCTATGTGGAAACTCACCCACGATTTGGAAACTGGTTTAGGCTTGCTCTGTTTTTCCAAAGTATTTCTTAAGAAAGAGCATGTCAGAGAGTGTGGTTTGTCTGCCTCAGGCTAAACAAATGTAGTTTTCTTTAAAAAAAAAGTTATTTCAAGTATCAATGGTCAAGCCATTCAAAGAAATACACATTTAAGATTTTATAACCAACAAGGTAAAAATTCATTGAGAAAACTACTGCCAATGAATGGTAAAACCATCAGACAAGTATGTGGAGGAAAAGGAGATTCATAGTCTTATCACCCTATGGATTAATTAACAATTATAAGGAGAAAAATCAAGTTTTACATTTTGTGGAAGTCACTTTATGCAAGAGGCAAAAAGCTGGCCAGCACAGTGGCATGTCTTTATTCCTAGTACTCTACATAGTGAGTTCCAGGCCAGCAAGGGCTACACAGTGAGGCCTTGTCTCAAACTATAGCAAGAACAACGACCAAAAAATTTTCATCATTAACACGGACCAAGGCAACTCTTATGAAGTGAGGCAGTATGGACACAGCATCAGCTATGCAGTGTTCCTGTAGAAACGGAAAATTACCTCATATGACTCTACCAACAAGGGACCAGTTAGGCAAATCCAAGCCTTCATTACAAAACAAGTGAGCTAGACGCTTTAGATTCCTCCTCTCCAAGGAAAACATCTTGGAAGGACTCTAAAAAGACATTAATAACTATCATATGCAATCCTTGATCAGATCCTCAGAGGGAAAGCACAGCTGTCCTAGGTTGCTATAAGCACAGCTGGTCATATTTGCATATGAACTATATATTGGATAGTGAAAAAATTAGTGAGTAGTTGAGGCTGTGGCCCACTTATGTTTTGATTGAGCCACTGTTTCTGAAGTACTTTAGTGTCTGAACATGGAGGTTACAAAAGGAAACTTGGTTCCACTGAACTGACCAAAATAGTCGCAGTCAAGGCACACAATTCTGTGGGCTATGCATACTTTTTGGGGAGACAGTTCTAACTGCACAAAGGGGATGCTGGGTAAATATCAACTCTTGTGTTCATGTGTGTTCAGGTGCACATGTGCCCTGTGTGTGAAGGCAGAGTGTGCCTTTTCTTTAGAGTTGCTCCATTGCCTGGAACTTCGCTGAGTAGACTTGACTCAAGCTGGCCAGCAAGCTCCAGGACTGCCTGTCTCCTCTTCCCATCCCACCATTGAGGGGTTTACAAGTACACACTGTCCCAAGTCAGGCTTTTTGCATGGACTCTGGGGCTCAAACACACAAACATGTTTGCAAGGCACACTTTACTGATTGAGCCACCTCCCTAGCACTAAATGTCAACTTGATTGTCACCAGTGGAATCCTAGAGCAAGGTCCATGTTTTAGTCATCTGGGGATATCTTGTCTAATGAAAATAGATTGCCAGTAAAAACCATGATGAAATTCTTCTTTTAGTAGGGCAGGGATGACAAAGCAACTGGCCGGAGCAGCTGTGGCTGTGTGCATTGAATTCTGGGGTTTATTAGCCTCATATAAGGGGGCATTATGGAAGAATGTGGCAGCCTGGTTGGCAGTCACTAAAGAAATTAAATGTTCAGGCTGCCTGTTTCAGAGAGGGGCAGCAGACATTAACAGCTTACTTTTCGTTCCAGTAGCAATGATATTTTCATTATTGGAGTCCTCAGGCACAGACTTTTTAATTTAAAACAGGAAGGTAAGTTCAGGATGGAAATAGCCCTTCACCACAGGGGCATCGCTGCACCCAAAACACATTATACCTTACCTGCCAATCTTAGCAGCATGCCTGGTGGTGTGAGGTGTCTGGAAGGAGGATGTAAGAAAGGTGCTGGGAAAGAGACCAGAGTCATCAATGCCCTGAAAAAGCTGAGGATTTAGTTCTAAAGTAAGAGGGACACCCCAGGTTCTGTACGTTTCTGACTGGTAAGAAAGTGATTGATCTGCACCAACATTTCCCTTATTCGTTGTAAAGTTGTAACAACCCTCTTGGGAGATCGTTTGGCTGATACTCTAGAGGATCTAAGTTGGCCACAAGTTTGTTGTTACTGTTCTCATCGGGTGTGTTTTATGAACTTCTCCTCAGTCTGAACTGGTTATGCTGTTCAGAAAACAGAACACAGCCACAGCACAGGTCAGGTATGGCCTCTTACAGGACTGCACTTTCCATTGCTTGCTTCTCAGGGCACTTAGAGTAGCACCTTGCTGAAGGAGTCTTAGCCACAGGGAGGCTGACAGCTGTGTGATTGGCAGCCACCTGGCTAAGACTCTCAGAAAATCATAGCCCTGCTGTCCTGTCCCCCTGGATGGCATCAGAGGGCCGGAACAGACCATCCAAGGACAATGCATACTTCAGGATCCCAGAGTCACAAGCAAGAACATAATATTCATCTGGTTCCCTCTGCAGCAAGATAACCTACATGTGACTGAAAAGTCTGTAGTACTAAAGACATAGAGTCCAGCAGGCATAGTGGTGCAAATCTATAATCCCAGAATTTGGGGTTAAGGCAGAAGGATGAGAAGTCAGGACCCTGATGGGTGACATAGTGATTCTCAGCTCTGCATGGGGTAGCTGTGACTTGGGGAAGGCCAGGACAGAGGGCTGTAGGGAGGGAGGGCACAGAGACTGGCCTGGGAAATATCACTTTTAGAATTCCCGCTTAGCTTGAAGGAGGGCCTGGTTTCCATCCTCGTCTTCATCAAGAAGAAACAAAGTGATTTATCTTATTCAACAAGGCAGAATAACAAAGCACAGGAAACACGGGCTGAGTTGGAGGAGAACTGTGGGAACCTTCGCCACATCCTTATCTTGTGCCGGCTTTGCCTCTAAAGCCGGCTCCAGCTGTTAAGAGCTCTTTCTGATAAACAGAAAAGAAAAAGGAAAACTTTCATTTTAATTCATTCTTATCCCAACACGTGTGTTCTACACAGAACTCATTTTTTAAACAGAGTTTATTGTATTTAATACATTATAAAATCTGAAAAAAACTGTAGGAAAGCAGCAGACTGAAACTGGAGATCTCTAGCAAGAAATAGCTCTGGCCCCTCTGCCAAACCATCAATGATCAGTGTAAAAACAAAGGAAAGGTCAAGCTGTGAGCGAGGCAGACAAAAAGGTGTCACTTCCCTACAAACTACAGTTCAATCATCCCGTCTATGTACCACAGAGGCAGTGTGCTCTTGAGTGATCCTCTGAATTCCCTCCTGGTCCCTACCTGCTGCCACATGAAACCTCCACTTGCAAAGAAACATCAGCGGGGTGTTTTGTTTTGTTTGTTAAAAAGAAAAGAAAAGGAAGAAAGATAAAGGAAAAGAAACAATGGATGGCTGTTGGCAATTTGACAGTATAAGGAGACTCTGTCCTCCCTGCTCATGGCTTATTTACTGGACAGAGACCCCAGAGGCCCAGGACACTCGTGGCTGGCCATCGCAGTTGCATTTCCTACCTTTTGACATATATATATTTATATATATATATTTTTTTTACATCTTGAGGATATCATGATTCCAATTGTTCCCATATGAATACAGGTGTGATTTCTAGTGGATATAAATGTCTTTTATTCAATTTTCGCTTCAGAGCTTGGTTTACTGTCCCAGCTGCACACAAATGTTCCTTTTCGCATATTGTTATTGGTTGTGTATGTTTTCTTTTTGCATAAGAAATATGTCTGTTTAGTCCAGTGGCTCCTGTTTTATCCGGATGACAGAGGGTACTCGGGGTGTCCTCCTCAGCTCCCGTCGGAGGACATATTCACTGAACTGGGACGAGTCCACACCTCCCCCACAGGAACCCACAATTTCAAATCCTCTTTGCTGCAACCGCTCGAGGACCTGTGAAAACAACAAGACAGGCATCTAGTTAGGGGCAAGACAAGTTCATTGACCACATAAACACACCAAAGATGTGTTCCACAGCTCCATTCACAGTCCATTCAAGAATGAAGGCAACAGTTTTCATTACAAAGTATTCCCCACTTGTAGAGTGTTTGCCTAGCATGCACAAAGCCTGACTTGGACCCCTAGTACCACAAACAGCAAGAAAATACCATGGAGGTCTGTTGTAGCCTAAATGTGTTTTAATTAAATGTTCAATGCTAAAGTCAAATGCTAGCCAGATCCTTGCCTGTGCTACATGTCAGACATTTCAATACAGGAAGCCACCCCTGTGGCTACAAGATAGGGAGACAGGCAGCTAACTGAGCACTGTTCTTTGGCAATCCCACAGACAGTTCACTGGACAGAATCAAATTCTGCCATCTCTAAAGGCAAGGGGCACCATAAACCAAAACTTTAGATACAAGCTTGATTCATTTCCCCCCCCACCTGAGTGGAGTGAAATGCTGCCAACAAACTCTCAAAATGTCAGTGATATGGTGGACCATGTATTGTGTGACATGCAACACTTGGGAGGCAAAGACAGGAGATCAAGAGAGTGGGACCAGCCTGGGCTACACAGTGCGAGTCTGGCTGAAAATAAGCAAGCAAAACCCTAAAGATAACTAAGCAAGGCAATCGTAATTATAATTAATTGATTAATTAATTCATTAAGTGTCGTGCTGGGGACTGGACCCAGGATCTTGTGCAAGTGCTCCACCACTGAGCTACATGTCCTCTGGCCTCTTAATTTCCATTTCTTTTAACCAACTTTTATCCAGAATATAGAAGCAAAATAATGTACTAGAAGAGACTGGAAAAACAAGAGTATGTGCTCCGGAACTACAAAGGCCAGACAGAACACTTGCAATCCCTCTCCACAGGTAGCACTCAGTAGGCGCAGGTGAATTCACTGTGAACATTTGTGCCCATCAGCCTAATGACAGGGTGATGGGACCCGCCCCTAAGTTCTGGTGAATACAATAGAGGGAACCATAACTCTGAGCAGAATTCTCTAGCAGAGGAGGAACCTGTCAGTGAGTGTTGCCTCGGTGTGCCTTAAAAGGATCTTTGCTCATTAGAAGAGGACATATAAGCATGAGAACTATTAGACAGCAAGAAATCTTATTCTGATGCTTATTTCCCCCAGGGGTCTTATGGACACAGGTTGTCTTCCTCCCCAGCAGTTATTATACACAGAATGTGACAGGTGTATGGTATGGCCCAGTGCTGGCTTGCATGCGGTCAAGTGCTTGTTTCAATGCTGTGTAAACAGCTAAGAAAGTCATTGATTTTTTTTTCTATTTTTTGTTTATTTATTTATATATGTATTCTCTCTCTCTCCCTCTCTCTTTTTCTCCCTCCCCCCCCCTCTCTCTCTCTCTCTCTCTGTGTGTGTGTGTGTGTGTGTGTGTGTGTGTGTGTGAGTGACGTCTCTCCTACCACATGGGTCTCAGCAACTGAACTCAAGTCACCAGTCTTGAAGGTAAGCACCTCTACCAGGTGAGCTAACTCACAGGCTGATTAAACACCAAGTCCATAGCAAAGTTCCTTGGGATTAGAAACCTTTTAGGAACATTTAAATGACAGGGTAGACCTGCCGGTATCTGATGCCTAGTCCCTAAGTCTCTGTGTACCGACAGACAGTTGTCTACCTCTTGGGGGTGGGTGAAGTGAGAAGCAAGAATGGATTGGGGCCATGTGATGGTGAAGGCAACACACGTGGAATTTCCACAGCTGATCTGGTCAAGGCATACGGAAGACAGAAGGTGCTTACTGGCCAGGGGAGGGACTGAGACCCTCTCAGTCTGGCTTTGGATGCTGTGATTGGCTCTATAGGCACCTGGCAGGGTTTGTGGGAGGAGAAGGGCTTTGAGGCTTCACAAGCATTTGGAGGCAACACCTACTGGTGTGTGTGTGTGTGTGTGTGTGTGTGTGTGTGTGTGTGTGTGTGTGTGTCCGTCCTTGTATGACCACCTCACACCACCTGGCGGTGATATCCACACAGGTAAGAATGCAAGTGTTGCCCTCTGGAATCCTAGTAAGACTGGGTGTGCCTTTCTCTGGATGCTGGCAGGTCTCATTTTTCTAAGTTCCCTGCTATTCTGCCCAGGTACAACTGCTTATACATTTGTAAAATTATAAACACCATGTAACAATTTCCCTGAGGCAACATGATCCTGTGAGTATTTAAACTCTTGGAGAGCACTTTGTGGTGCTAGGGGCAGAATGTAGATACTCGTAGCATTTGCTAGGTAAGCACTTTGCCACTAGCTATGTCCCAGCCCACTGTTGGCTAAACAGTGAACAAAGTCATGGGCCAGTTAGAACTATCTTTAGTGGGGGCACTTTCAGCAACTGCCTTCTAATAGATTTCAACCCAAGGACTCTGGGGGGAGACTCAGGTGTGCCTTTGCCTTCTCACAGTAAGGCAGAGCTGTTGTCAGAGGACAGTGACCCATTGGCCACAGCCCAGGGGAGGGCAGATTAGATGCTCAGCACACTGAGTTATGATAGAAACAGCACTTATCAGCATCTAAGGCATGCAGCACCTCACATGGTCTAAACCAAAGCCTCAATTCCACCCAGTGTTTTTCTTCTCCCAGAGATGGCTCCATGTCAGAACTAACAGTTCCATTCCAGTTCTGTCAGAAATCTGTCAGGCTTCTTACCACCCCACAGTCAGAAAAGCTTGCGAGACCAGCAGTTAAGACACTGAGAGACCATTGCTCTGTAACTTGCCTCCTTGTTTCTCTATTATCATCGACTGTTAGACAGGGACTCATGTAAACAAAGCTGGCCTTGGACTTGTTAATCATCTGAAGAAGCCCTTGAATTTCTTTATTTCAATTTATTTGTATGTATATGTGTGTCTGCTTGTCAGTATGTGCATCATTTGTGTATAGTTGCCCAAGGAGGACAGGAGGGAAGGTCACCAGAGTGGGAGTTGCTGGCAATTGTGATGCTGGTTACTGAACCCAGGTCCTCTTAACCACTGGGTCATCTCTGTAGCCCTGACCTTGAGTTTCTGATCCTCTTGCTTCTACCCTTCCAAGTGCTAGAATTATAGGGATGCACCACAACTCTTGGTTACTAAGAATCCGACCAGTGCCCAATGCATGCTGGGTAAGCCCTCTACCAACTGATCTACATTCTTGGACCCTGGAGTATTTATTTTAGGACACAAGTTACAGCAGTTTCCTCTTCTGTTCAAATCCTCCGCTGGCTTTCCACTCGTCCCACTGGCTTTCTACTTGTCTCACACAAGCAAATGAACCTAACACCAAACACAACAATGCTTCTCTCCCCCAACCCCACCAAAACAGAAAATCCTGAGTGCTGACAGCTCTCTCTGAGGCTCTCACTATGACCTCGTGTACTAGCACAAACACACTCCCTTTGGTTCCTTTTCAAGTGACATTCTTGAGCACTCAACATGCTGAGGGCCCTTCCACTGTGGGCTCCTTACAACTTGCTCATTCTGCCTGGAAGACCACTAGGGGTTCGGTGTGAAGTGCACCCCGCAGGGCTTGGGCATAGAAAGCCTGTTCTCCAGCTGGTGGACTAACCTAATTCCTTGATTCACTGATGGCATTACAATGAATGGGCTGTTAGGAGGTGGGGCCTGGTTGGAGAAAGTCGCTTACTTGAAGGTACTTTAGAGGCGTACATCTTGCCTGGGCCACTTCCTATTTGTTGCCCTCTTTTTTTTTTCCTGGCCACCATAACGTGAACAACTTTGCTATACCACACCTGTGAGTCACAATGTTTTCCTTCACCACAGCCCAAGAAACAATGGAACCAAGTGATTACCTCTGAGACCACAGCCAAAATAAATGACTTTAAGTTGTTTCTCTCAGGTAATTGTTACAGTGACAAACACTAACACAAACACTGTGCCTCAGATGTCCTCTTACTACAATTTGGGCGGTATTTATGTTGGTTAATGTCTGCCCCCACCCCACTTCTGAGACAAAAAACTCCACAGAGTTGTTGTCTTGTTTTCTTCTGTATCACCTGTATTCATGATAGGTTCACACAGTATTGAGCACATACTAGGTGTTCAATAAGGACTTGTGGATTTGTGGGATGGATGCTGTGGAGACTGAGAAACCACCTACTCAATGTGAGCACGGCACATGATGGTTCCTCAGCTCCCTGGAAGAAAGGTTAAGTGACAGCTTTGAGAATGACATTGATGCCATATGAAATATGATGATATACCTGGACTGAGTTTAGGTGACAGTAGCCGTTTAGTGGGAACCTGATGACATGTGTTGAGTCGTGATTCCAGCCTGCATTGACGGAGTTGCACATGACATCGCCAATCTCCGGAAAGACTTCTTCTATTAAGGACTTGTCCCCACTGAGTGTGATCCTTTCTCCCAGGTCTGGGGCCACACGCACCACGAGGCACTCACAGGGCCGCGAAAAGCGGCCAGTTTCTCTGTCCTGTTTCCATCGTTCCATCTCCAACAACATTGGCTGAAGTTGAAAATATTTTGCTTCTTCATATAACAAAGTATAGTCCTGGGGGGAATAAAAAGGCATTTCACAGTGGGCAAAACATATACAAGGTGCCGAAAACGGTCGTGTTTTGTTTTGCTTAGGATCTTACTAGGCAGCCCAGGTTGCCCTTGAACTCATGATCCTCCAATCCCCACCACCCCACAAGTGTTGGGACTACAGATGTGTGTAATACTTGTGGACATGACAGAACCACTGTAGTCGTGAACTTACGGCAGCCGAGGCTGTCTGCATATTCTAGAAAGGAGGGAGAAGGGCTCACAAGCTCCCACTGCTAGCTGAAGAGCTGTTGACAACTGATGACTGCAAGGAGAGGGAGAGTGTTGTCTTTAAGGGAGTGGCCCTGGGTAGGCTGGCCATACTTTAGTGGACGGTCAGCTGGGCAGTAAGTATAGCTCATTCATGAGCATATGGACAACACGACTGGACTTAATGGGTCATTACAAAAAAAAGAGGACATCAAATTGGAGTAGGTATAGATTTATGAGGAGGTGGGGGAAGGAGTGGGAATCAAAATACAATCTTGTATGCATGTATGAAACTATTAAATAACTAATTTTAAACATTAATGTTAAAAAAGAAATTGATGTTAATTCATTTGTGTTGTATTTCAATAATCAAATCTAAATGCAAACATTTCGGTTACAACACCTTTATAAAGACCCATTCACAAAAAAACAAAAACAAAAAACAAACAAACAAAAAAAACAACTCATTCACTCATTCATTCATTCACTGTGCTGGCTAGATTTATGTCAACTTGTCACAAACCATAGTCATCTGAGAAGAGGATACCCCAAATGAGGAAATGCCTCCACAAGATCAGGCTGTGGGCCTGCCTGTAGAGCATTTTCTCAATTAGTGACCAATGGAGGAGGGTCCAGCCCACTGTGGGTGGTGCTATCCCTGGGATGGTGGTCCTGTGCTTATAAGAAAGCAGGCTGAGCCAGTCATGAGAACAAGTCAACAAGCAGCACCCACCATGGCCTCTGCATCAGCTCCTGCCTCCAGGTCCCTGCTCTGCTCAAGTACCCTGTCCTGATTTCCTTTAATGATGATCAATGATATGGAAGTGTAAGCCAAATAAATACTTTCCTCCTCAAGTTGCTTTGGTCCTGGTGTTTCATTACAGCAGTGGAAACCCTAACTAAAGCATTCATTCATTTTGTTAATGATATAGGGGATTAAGAGCTAGCAGATAGGCCTGTTTAAGAGCTTTTCATGAATTAAGTCCTCGAATCGCCTACAAAAATCAGGCACCATCCTTATTCCCATTACACAAATGAAAAACTGAAATGTGAAAGGATTCGCTTTCTTCTTTTAGTTCTAAAATGCACCTGGGCATTTCAAGCTCGATGGTGTTGTGGGAATCTAAATTTAATCTGCTCTTATGGAACACGCATGAGGTTGGGCTCAGCTGCAGATACACTCATGGGTGCCTAGTCCTTGCCACCTTCAGAACCCATGGTGGGAAGCTGTAGAAGGCAACATAGCCTGGGGACAGACTTGAGTGGGTGTCTAGAGGACTTGCATGTGGCTTTTACTTAAACTTGGGTATTGGTATGTGATGATTTAGACGAGGCTGATAGAGATTTGGCAGGTTCTTCCTCCACTCTGCCACCTGTCAGAGTTGTCTCAAAGCAGAGAAGTCAACAACACACAACCCTGATTCCTGTGAACTGGATAAGAAATGGGGACTTAGCCATTTCTGAAACACTTAGATGTGGGTTCTTTTCCTCAGGTCATACACATGTGGCCTGAATTAGAGCCTCAGATCTATAGAATAGGTACTGAAGTACACACAGGAGCTGTTGAAAGAGAAGACAAAGAGAATGGGGCCAAGGAGGGGGTGGAGAGGCACCAAGAGAAACGATGTTGACAAGCAGGTCAATATTATATCTCAACGTAGCTATGGACACAATCGTCCCTGGGTGTGAGATAAGTGGGTACTTGTCCAGACATGTTGACTGAGAATGCTTTCTTTAGTCAACTGACAAAGTCATTGCTGCCTTCCTTCCATGAGCCCAAGCTGACAGTTGGTGCTTGCTATTCACATGGGAGTCAGCTCTGTAAATATATGGCCATGTGCGTCTAAGAGCAGTAGACGGCCCGGAAGCAGAGGATGGGCCAGAACTACATCTACAGTTCTTGTTCACTCTCTCTCCCCTCCCCCAAGGAAGCAGTAACCATGGCAGCAGCTTCATTCATGTCTTCCTGAGAGACCAGAAGAATGGTACAATGGTTGGTACCAGTGGGCCTCTCATTGCGCAGTCCACTTTCCATTTCTGGAAATAAGGACAAGGTGTAAGATGCTGTCAGGGACACTCATCTCAAAGAATCTGATACATCTTGACTCTTCCTTTTACCTCCCAGCAAAGGAAGCCATGGCTCTGCTAACCCTTCTGTATGCGTTTCTATCTTCATGGCCTCCTGACTCCGGGGCACGGTTTGGTTTTTAAGAAATTGAGAATTAGCTGATATGTATCCACTCTCAAGGTAGGGCAAAATCAAGCTGGATATGTTTACATACCTCTAATCACAGAATTCTTGAGGTGGAGGCAGGAGGATCAGGAGTTCAAAGCCAGCCTAGGCTACATGAGACTCTGTTTCAAGACATAAGAACAAAAGAACAGGGTATGGGGTGCACACCTTTAATTCCAGCACTTGGGAGGCAAAGGCAGGAGAATCTGTGTGAGTTCAAGGCCAGCCTGGTCTACAAAGTGAGTTTCAGAACAGCCAAGGCTACCACAAAGAAAGCCTGCCTTGAAAAACCATCCAACCAACCACCTAAAAGAACAAAAGAACAATAATACAAAACCTAGGGACCCTGCGCCAAGCCTTAAGGACAGGAGACAGGAGGCCTGGGTTTCTATGCAGCTACTCAGGGTTTCCACTTCAGAGCTTTGTCATTTTTAAGTTTAATAACTGCAAGATACTGACCTCCAATACTTATTAAGATGAGCATTCTCAAAGAGATTTAGAAACAGAGTGGAGGCTTGGGGAGGAACAGAGTGGTTGTGTAAGTGTGGCTACAGACGGAAATAAGCCAGGCAGCATTGTCATCCCACATCCTCTGGGCATGTGGAGACAAGTGGATCTCCGAGGCTCACTGGCCATCCAGACTAATGTCAGCACATTTCAGGAAGTAAGATCCCTGTCTTACTTCAAATAAAGTGGATGGAGTCATGAGGAACACCACCTGAAGCTGACCTCTGGCCTCCAAGTGAGTATACATGTATTCCTCTGCATGCACACACATGAACACATGGACATGTCCCCCCCCCAAAAAAAAACCAAAAAACAAAACAAAAAAACAAAAACAAAACCCAGAATCCTTAATAGTAGATACTTTGGAGGTTGAGAAGGGAGGATTGAAAGTTCTAGGCCAGCCCAGGCACCTCTTAGATCCTGCCTTTAAAAAACAGGAAAAATTAAAGAAAAGCCAGCATAGTACTTACCTAACATGTAAAAAATTCAAGCCATAGCATTGCAACACACACACACACACACACACACACACACCAAAAAGGCCATAACTGAGAGTTGTACAATTAGAGGGGGTGCTGCTTGCTTGCCCACATGGCACATTGCTAACCAGCATGAGTTCTATTAAGGCACATGGGCTTCCTGGAGCTACCAGGCCTTCCAACCAAGTAAAGATGCTGGCAACAGCCTGTTTGCCCAACTTGACCCCAGGGAGAAATCTGTCCCACACCACTGAACAGTCACTGGGCCTCTGGCTGAATCCTTCTAGTCACTGGAAGTTGGGCTCTAATAAGTCACAGCACTTACAGGTTTTGGCAGCTTTGATTGTTATAAAAGGCAGCAATAGAAAGACCTGAATTTTGCCATGCTACCAACCTGTTTGTTCTAATTCTCTCTGGAGTTACGGTGATCAAAAAAATGTTTTAGTTTAATGGGCTGGGCAGTGGCGGTGAACGCCCTTAATCCAGCACTTGGGAAGCAGAAACAGGCGGATCTCTTTGAGTTCGAGTACAGCCTGGTCTACAAAGCGAGTTCCAGGACAGTTACACAGAAAAAACACTGCCTTGGAAAACAAAAACAAAACAAAACAAAACAAAACAAAACAAAAACCCAATCCTCCAAAAATAATAAATAAAATAATAAGTAATACATAAATAGATAAATGAAAAAAGTAGTGGGTTTCACTGTGACACTTTCCTGAAGCTGTTCTACTATGCTGGGCTTTTACGTGTTCCTGCATCACCCTCTCCACACCCATGCCCCTTCTTGCTGGTCCCCTTCCTCCCTGACAAACAGGGTGTCCCCTCTGCTTCCTTTTCCCTCACAGTCCCTCCTTCCTCTCCCAAAGTCCCTCTTTTATTTATCTTCCCCTCCCTCCTTCCCCCACCTCTCTGTCTCTCACTCACACACACCTAGATCCTGCATACAAAAATAAACGTGACATTAGTGCTTCTTTTGATTAACATGACCCCTAGTTTCATTCTTTCTCCTGCTTGCATGACTTTGTACCTCTCTACCACTGAATAAAATTCCATTGTGTGTACACACTACACTCTCTTTTTAAAACTTTTATTATTTATTATTGATTGTGTGTCATGTATGTGTATTGGCTAGTGTGTGCCATTACGAGTGTGTGGGGATCAGAGATTTTTGTACAGTCAGTAGGTTTGAGGATGGAGCTCTGTGAAGAGCATCTGGGCTGGCTGTGTATCTTGGCAACTTAAGTATTAAACATGGATGAGCAGGCACCTGTGGTAAGCTGACTTAGGTTCCTTTGGTTGCTTGTGCAAGTCCATTACTTGTATTTTTGCTTTTTTTGTTTTTGGCACCTGCACGGTGATTTCCATAGTGGTTACACCGGTGAGCCTTCCCACCAGCTGTAAATAAGGGCTCCTCTCTCCCCACATTCTCACCAATATTTGTTGTCATTAGTTTTCTTACTGACCCAAATTCCGGCAGGGGTGAGATGAAACTGTAAAGCAAATCTTAACTGTACTTCCTGACAGCTCAGGGTGTTG